TTGTTACATAAACAGGACAGGTGAAATATTATCATGTAAAGCAACCATAAACACATGAAAAGACCTAGGTTTACAATTTATGATTAAAACTCTACTATCTACGCAATATACGTAGGCATAAAATGTAAAAACTTAAATATCTTAGAAACAGTAGCCAATCAGTTGTTTTAATTGTCATATTTGAATTCAGCACATCAAACTACATAATAAATAGCACATTTTATCTCTGAAGCAGACGACTTCTCAAAAATTGTAGACCAGTGTAATAATACATTTTTTTTACCTTCTTTGTGGTGATATGTCTGTGTGACTGTAGTATGCGATGTTGGAGGGTGGGGGGGAAGAGTAAAAGAGAGGGATTTTGTTTAAGTATACTTGTGCTTGTGAAACATGCCAGATTAAGTCTTGAAACTGATAATGGTCCCCAAGGGCTTGTTAGCCAGAGCACTGCATATGATAGTAGATGGTTCTTTAATCTAGCAGAAAAATGCATACCAAGATCCAGTGGTTGGAAGATGAAGGCACACAAATTCAGGCTAGAAAATTAGGTGCAAATTTTTAACAGTGAAGATAATTAACCATGGAACAATTTTCCTAGAGGTATGGTGGATTTTCCATCGCTTAGATTCTTTAAATCAAGACTGGTTATCTTGATGTTACAGGTTTCATGCAGAAATTACTGCAGAGATTCTCAGATGTGTTTTGTAGGAGGTCAGAATAGCTGATCATAGTGGTCTCTTCTGGCATTAAAATCTGCTAATCTTTGCCCACTGCCTTCAGATGGTCCATCTTTGAGGCTAGCCTGACCTCAGCCAGCAGCTGGAGGTGGTACTTAGGATATTTTTGAAAGGGATCTTTGAAAGGTATTATTCTTTTTAATTCATAGTCTCCAACAGAGAATCTATTAATTATTCTGCATTGGGTGTTTCCATGAGGTTTTTTTGTTGCCCTTGTGGCTCTGCAAAACCATGTCATAGATTGAGGATGCTTAGGTAGGCTTATATGAACTTTCTAAACTTGTGTTTAACTCTATTTCCCAGCAGTGCACACTTCGCTCTAGTCTCCTATTCTTACAAAAAAGTCCCCCCCAAATCCCAGAAAACTTCCATTCAGCACACTTCAGCATCTTCCTTATGTTATTTTCTGAAGATAGAAGCAGGATGCTCAATAGCCTGCTACTCACCCCCATGTATTTAGATAAGTGTGTTTTAGGCTCCTTGGATTGGAAGAGGGCGTGGCCAATACTCCACAAAAAATGATACCCCATCTTCAAGCAAAACCAAAAATGCCAAGCCCTTGAAAGAAAGAAGAAAAAAGTTTGGTTTAGTCTGGATTTGGATTGTGGGTAAACATGCAGGGAGGATTATGTGGGGTCTTTCTTTCTTTTTTTTTTGGGTCTGAATCTGATTTAGTTCTTGATCCATGTATTTTGCACCAAGACCTTACTTCTGAATCTTTTAGTCAGTTACAGTAGAAGCTAAAACAACAGCACTAGCACTAGTGTAGTGGAGGGCAAACAGAATTTGCCGAGCTATCATTTAGGGAATATAGTGTTTAGTTTACCCACTTCTTTTTTAAATCACTATACCAGTAAGTACTAACCTCTCCATATCTGTTTCACTTCTTTGATACTATGGTTGCCAACTCTACCAGTTCAGTGTATCTGCTTCCCAACTGACATACATATTCAATTTGGGCTATATTATGTGTAATACCACTTAGAGTTTGTCTGGCACCTTCCCATTATTTTCAATAAGGCATATGACATTTGGATTATTGTTTGCTGCACTGTGCTGTATTTTTTTAAATTGCTAACCAACTCTCAAGAGTCCAGTGGTCCAGAGTCAGACTGCTGGAAGACTACTGTATTTCATAAACACAAAATAGAAGCCATCAAATGCATGGTTGTCTGAGATTCATTTTAACTAAAAATCAAAACATTTAGCTGTCTATTGCGTTGCACTGCCTATTATGTTTAGAATACTTCATTCTTCTGTTTCCTATTCCATATATTATTATACTACTTTATTACAGATAAATTTGAGCGAGATGGAGAAGATGGGATAGACATATAGAATGGCAAGTAGACCAATTTCAGCTTGTGTTCTAATTACTGCTTTGTAAGTTTAAGCAGAGAGACTGGCATCTTATTTATTGTTGTTTTTTTTTAAAACACACACAGCCATTGCTGTAATGACACTGGGAAAATATGTCTGTTTATTGTAGACCAAATAGTTTTCTTCAAACATTCTAAACGCATGCAAAAGTTCATGATGCATAATGATTTGAGAGTTTCTGTAGGTAGGTGTTCTGTATTTCAGAGGATCCATATGTGTCACAAACAGTGAAAAATCAGGAACACTCACTGATTATATGATTTTTTTTTTTGGCAGGCATTTTCTGTTGCTCTGGCAGAATTGTAGTGATGCATTAGTCATTTGCATAGAAAAGATCCTGGTCCATGACAGTCTTTTATTTGTAGTGCCATCTGCAATATTTTTGTGAGTAAATTCTAAGAGAAAAAATGTATGCAGTTCATGGATACTTTTTGATTTGGAAATAGTCCTAGTCCTTTTCAACCAGTGTTTGAAAAAAAAATTCTCATTTTGGAACTGTACAAAAAACTAAAGCTTAAGAATTAATTAATAAGAGGGACAGGCAAAGATCCAGTCAACCCATAAAACTCACAAAAAGGACTCCAGCTCTTTTCACAGATAACTAGGTTATTAGATTTTAAAAATAATACTCTGAGTATTTCCAAAATGGCTATTTTGCCTGGAGCTCTTTGTATATGTTTTCATATATGAAGACTAGACATGAAGGGAGTATAGCTCTTCTTCCCTTTCTTCCTCTATCAACACCTCTTATTTGGAGGATCGAGCATCAAGTGTTACAGGGAGATGCTACTACTCCATCAGAAAATGTTTGCATAAAGTTATACGTCTTACAGATGGCAACATTCATGCTTATTTTGACTACTGGCAGAAGCAAGTTCCCTACCCAAGTACTCTGATCTGAGAATACTCCTCCCCCTACTAGGTGCATCGTAGGCCCAGTCAGCTGAAGTGTCCCTTATTGATCTTACCATGCTGGAGCACACATAAAGAGATGGTCATTGACTTAAGTAGGCACTACTTTGTTTAGGGCTTTGTAGATAAAGATCAGGACCTTGTACTGAACCTAAAACTAGACTGACAACCAGTTTCAGGGACTGATTTTCATAAATGCACACAATGCATCAGCTGAAAACCAGGTCCATACAAACCCATGTTATAGAATGTCTTGCCTGAGCATAAACAATATAGTAGCTGTTGCCAGATGTAACCTTGAAGATTCCATGAAGAATTAGCTATATGAATGAAGAACATGGGGTGAAATCCCAGCTCCAGCAAAGTCTGGAAGAGCTCCCAGTGATGTCAATGGAGTGAGGATTTCACCCTTGGTTAGTGAATACAACCAAAGCAACCTATGTCTTCTGAGAAATCTTACTTTTTGAGAGTTCTGGAGTCAGAGACAAAGGAATACTAAAAGTTTACAGTCTTCACTCAGATTCAATTACTACAGCCTAGATAAGGGCTAAAGGTTCTCAGATATGGAGACCAACATGCTATCAGCTGAAATAATCAGCTTTGTTCTATTGCAAATAATTAGCTGATGAAATAATCACTCTCTTAAGATGATACATTTTCCACTGAAAATCACATTGATGGGTTTCCTCGAGGAGATTCACCAAGATATTCCAAAATCTCACCCATTCTCCCTTTGGCAAAGAAACTTGTTCAGGCCTTTCAGCAATATCATCTTAGGAAACAGAGATGACATTGTGACATTACCAAAAGCCATGTTTTTTGTGATGCAAAATGAAACAGTGCTATAAATGACACTTCACAATGAGACAATGCTGCAGATAATGTGTAGGTAGGACAACAACACTTCTTACTATTGAGACTATTCATAGAAGGTAGAAGAACTGACCAGGGTAACTCAAGTTGAAAATATAATACTGTGTTGCTAGCAATTTTATATACATTGTAACTGAGAATGAGTCCATTAGAAATGAAGTTCAAATTGTTAAATCATATTACAGCTATTTTTTTTGTTTAATGCCAATAATCATTTACATCTTGTGTTATGTTGTGGAGTGTGTTTCAGTCTACTGCTTGATTCACTTCAGTATATTGTATGGTAGTTCTTGTATGTTACTGGATGATGATTAAATGTCCTTAAAATCAGAACTACAGCTGGTCGGGAATTATTTGACAAAACTTTTTTTGTCGAACAATGTCGATTTGTCAAAACTGAAACTTTTTGTCGGAAATGGTGGATTTCAACAACTTTCTTCTGAATTTTTTTTAAAAAAAGTTTCAAAATCATTGAAATGTTTCATTTTGACATTTTCTAAACAAAAAGAAAAATCCATCTTTTGGTTTGAAATAATTGTTTTGTTTCCAAATTTAAGCTTATTTATAGTAAAAAAATAAAATGTTTCAAAATGAAATATTTTGATTGACCCAATCTGAAATTTTTTTGAATTTTCAAATTGTGAAAATTTGAGATTTTGACTTTTTGTCCCTATTTGGAACAAGAAAAACTTTTTAAATTTCAAAAATTCCTACGGGATGAGAATTTTTTCCTGCCTAGTTCTAATCAGAATTCATTTGAAGATTAATACAAAATTTGAATTAATTTTCTAGAGTTTGTAGAAATTTCAAGAGACATTTATGAAGTCTGGACAAATTCATTGAATGTTTATAAATTTTTGGCACATCTGAGATGATTTTCCAACACTAAGCAATTATAAAAAATTACAATTCCCACTTCGAACAGGAAATCTAAAGACTTATGAGATAGTGTTGTCTAGTGAGCAGAGAAGGGGACTGGGAGCCATGATTTCATGACTCCATTTGTGCCACTGATTTGCTTTTTTGATGTTGTGCAAATCACTTTCACTGTTTAACCATCTGCAATATGAATATAATTATGTGCCTAAAATGGCATTATGAGGCTTAATTAATTAAAATGTATAAAGCATTCTGAGATCATAAGATGAAGGTCATGATATAAATATGTTAGTATATAGAAATGTAATGGAATTTGTCTGGTTTAATCCTGTGGAATCATACTATATGGTATATAATTCCATCAGATTCTTCTCTTCATTTGGTGTGCTACTTCAAGATATTAAGGTAGCAAGGAATCAGCAGGCAGGGATCTAGCTGGAGATAGTCCATTAATAGAAAATAACAGATTAAAATATAATACAGTACCACTAGGAAGTCTTTAAGTGGTACACATTTTTTTAGTTATGTACCTTGTGAATCACTTTTTAAAATGAATATATATTAAATAATACTGAAATACAGATGTATTCTTTGTTTCTAATAACTTTTTGTGATTTCTTATTGAATAGATATGATGCTGTAAATTTTAACTTGTATGACATATGTCTTTCCAATGGTTATTGTAACACTAGTATTACTGCACAGGCACTTGATCAATGCCTACAAACATGAATCAAAATAGAACCATATCGGGCAGTACATAGCTTTGAAACATTCTACTAATGATAATGAAAACTAGCTTATAAAAATTCAAACAGCATTTTATGAAACTATTATAAAGCTAGGAGCTTGGGAATTAGACAGAGTACCCACACAGTAGGAGAGTACAAATGAACACCTACGCAGATGGCTGCTATGAGAACTGAACAACCACCATACTATATAATAGAAAGAAGCAAAATGAAGTGCCGATTGTAAGTGGTGCTTAACTTTATTAAGCCAAGAGAACACTATTACTGAAAGTCTGTATCTGACAAAGGGAAATTACTTTGTTGTAATCATGTTCATGAGCTGTCTTGTGTAGTCAAAGGCCTGCCATTCATTTAAATTAAACTGTAGCCTTTAAAATGTTAATTAGATGTTACAGCCAGATGCAATATTGAAGAACCTTTAATTTATAAGTTTCAACCATTTTTTCTTGAAACATTCTCACATGTTTGTAACAGAACAACAGGCATGGATTTGTGACAACATCAAAAGACTAGCCTGCCATACATACTCCTTTTGTTGTCTTTGATTGCGTTGCTATATATATTAGTGAGTATGCACAGTAAATACCTCCTTGAAGGATATACTTCTAAGGCCTATATTAGAAAAGAGAACGTGACTGTATATTAGTTGTGGTTTTTAAAAATTAATTTTATAAGACATAGTTCTTCCTCAAACCAAGCTGTTAGTAAAAATTAAGTAATGGATGCAATCTACTTTAGCAGCTTTCTGTCACTATGCCTTTAACTGTACAAAATGCTTAAACTATTCCTAATTTACATGGACAAATTAGTTCAATAGGACCAACTGTAGTATAATGACACCAACTGTTTATAAAAACAAAACTATTAAGTTGACAAAAGCATGCTCAAACAGCAATATGGATACTAGTGCAGAGTACAAATTGAATCCTTTCACCCACCCAAGAATATAAATCAGACTATGCCTTTCAAAAGAAACTGGTTATAATTTTTTTTTCTCCAAAGACAATCTATGTAAATCTCAGAAGCTGTGGGTGGGGCAGGCGGGGGGCCCTGATTGGATGAGGGTCCACATTTATTATACACTTTGCTCAGCCTTAGAAAGTTGTCTTGAAATTTTACCACAAATTCTGCTAATCCTGGGCCCTGATTTTAGAGGTGCTGAGCACCTGAAATTTCCATTTACTTTAATTGGAGTATGGGTGATCAATATCTCTGAAAATCACACCCTCAACTTTACTATGATGACAATAATGGGGCAGGGGAGAAGATATTTTGACTTTCCTGAGGGAAATGAGGGAAATGAATTTTGCAAGGCTGGCGTCACATTAATTAGAAATTTGAACTTATAACTGTTTTTATACTTGATGGTTTACAAACTTCTGGAGTGAACCTCAAAGGCCCAGGGACTTATCTGTTGTTATCTATCTGATCCTTATTATTCTCTCAAAAATATAGCAAGGTGTAACTTAGTATACGTGCCAAAAATAGTGATATGGGCCCAGATTTTTAATAGTATTTAGGCATTGCTGATTTCTGCATTGCAAAGC